AAAAGCAGTCAAAATGACTTCTTTGGGCAATCTAGTGTTAATAAATGTTCCATTTCCTTGACCATTTCTCAAAAACTCCACGTGGCTGCACCCTCCCCTATTTATGGCAGGAGCAAGTCATAACGTTTGAGATCGCAAAGGCATTTGGCAAAGTATATATTCGAGCATCATCGATTTCTTAACGTCCCGCGCGCAATCACGCGTCCGAGGGTGGCATTATTCACTTGGAAACAAAGCGTTGGCCACCGAAATCTCGAGGCGAGGCTCGAACCCGACCGCTTTATCGTTAACGCGATTCAGAACCGCACAATCGTGGCGAATCCACGCAAAGCTACGGCCCTTTCACCGCCACCCTCGCTTTCTACCCCCGTTCTACTCCGACCGAGAGCGACGAAAGCTCGGTTGGCCAACGTTTAGCTTTGTTTCCTCGGCCAGCTTCTTCTTGATGGGTCCAAAAGAGCCGTACACAGGACATAATAAGAGAAAGGAAATGGGAAACAGAGAGAGAAAGGAGGACTGGTCTGAAAGGGTTCTATCGGTGGCCGGCGTTCAGCGATCGCCTTCCGCCATTTTTACCGCAGCCGACGTTTGTACACGACCGAAGAAAAAAAAAACGGATTCGAGAGGCCAGCCACTTAACCCTACCACGGCATTGTCGTTCTCCGCGATTATCCGCCGAGAATCGGACGAGTGGCTGGGCTCTATCGACGGTAAAAATTCGAGACCAACTTGTTTTGTTTACGAAATACCCACTTCGGGCCGCGAACGAAAATCAAGTGGCCCTTAATGCAACGGAACAATGCAGCGCGCTCCTTCAACTACACTAGAGAGAAGGGACCTTTTCTTTTGATAGGGACGAAAAAATACTTAAGGCAAACCTGCCGCCAATTGGCAGGCCCTCAAACGATTTTCACGTTTCGAGGAAAAGGGCCAATTGTCTACTAAATTAAATGATTAAAACGCCGGTTTTGGGTTAAATAGGAGTCGCGGTTTTAACCAACGAAACTTGCGACGAGTTCTATTTTAATGGAAGGGATCAAGGGAATCGATTCTTATTTCTTTTCCTATTTCGTTTCCTCACCTTCCCAAGAGAAGTTCCACTTTCCGGTATAGCTGTCTTCTGCTTCGGCGATGATAATCCTCGAATTTGGTAGACAGCACGCTCTTCGACGGCAGCTCCCATGCCTGGCCGGCTGTTATCCCAAATGCGGAGAATCCTGATGGTTTCGCGTACGCGGAGAACGTCAGGCAGTAAACCAACTGCGAATTCAAATCGAAATTACATGAAATTATAAAATCATATGCAATGTAAAAATGTTAGTAAACTGCAAGCGTTACATTGTTGCATTTCTTATAAGTTGGAAGAGACAAGATCAAAGTTCTTTTTCTCAAAATATCAAAAAATGAACTAAATAAAAGTTGTTTTTCTTCTAATTT